TAGTTATCACTTTTTATCATTTTTTTGTTTTGTTTTGTATACATGTTTGAAATAAACTAAACTAAAAAACTAAACTAAATTTTGGTTCCTTTTGGTTCATGTACATTTTATTCTTGGTACATTAGAAGTTTTGCTTGGAAAAAGGGCGTATATGAAATTTTGTGCATACATGGTTAGGGTCAAAATCCAAATGTACTGTGTGAAATTAAAGCAAGCATTTTAGAAATTATTGGTACAGCTAGTTAACTCCTTAAAAGGTACTGTAATATATTATCTGATTTATTAGTAAATTTTAATTGATTTTACTAGGGTAAGCCAGGTATTCCTGGTGACCATGGAATCAAAGGTGCAGAAGGACCACGAGGACCTGCTGGGAACCCAGGTTTGGACGGATACCCCGGACTCCAGGTACAGAGCCTCAAAAATTAGGCTAAAAAAATTAAAATAAAAAATAAATGGTCTCTATGAACCTTTTATTGTCTCCACACCATATTTTAACCAGCACTTCAGTTTCTGTTTACGACTCAACCAATTTCCTGTATCTTTTAGGGTGAAAAGGGAGACAGAGGAGAGAAGGGTGAGATGGTGAGTTCATGCATTCCACCAAATATTGATTTATGAACTCGTCCTGAGTTAAAACATTAGTATTGTTGTTTCTAGATGAATATGAACTTGTTTTATGTGCAGTATTTGAGGTCTGAAAGCACTGCATCTTTGTCATCATTTTGACCATTTTTCATTTTCTGCAAAAAATAAAAATAAAATAAAAAAAATTCAAAAACATGTCATTAGTTCATAGAATAAAACAACAATGTTCATTTTACTCAAACATATCTATAAAGAGTAAAATCATAGAAACTGATCATTTTAAAGGGGTCTCCTAATTTTTTGAGAGCTGTAAATGTGTATAGTTCCTGGGCTGGCCAAACAAAAAAAGTCACCACCTGGATTTAACTGATGTCTATGATGTGTGGTTGCTGCAGTTAGTCAGGTCCAGGTTCAGCAACAGTTTGTGCTCAAAGAATGAGGTCAGATGACTACCTGAATATACTGAATGACCAGGTTATTCCATCAATGGATTGTTTCTTCCCTGATGGCACGGCCATATTCCAAGATGACAATGCCAGGATTCATGAGGCTCTTATTGTGAAAGAGTGGTTCAGGGTGCATGAGACATCATTTTCACACATGGATTGGCTCCACAGAGTCCATTGAGAATCTTTGGGATGTGCTGGAGAAGGCTTTGTGCAGTGGTCAGACTCTACCATCATCAATGTAAGATCTTGGTGAAAAATTAATGCAACACTGGATGGAAATAAATCTGGTGACATTGCAGAAGCTTATCCAAACAATGCCACAGAGAATGAGTGCTGTAATCAAAGCTAAAGGTGGTCCAATGAAATACTAGTGTGTAAACTTTTTTTTATTTTGGTGGCAACTTTTTTGTGGCCAGGCAGTGTATGTATATGCATGTACAGTATATTAGGGCTGCCACAAACAATTATTTTTATAATCGATTAATCACCGATTATTTTTTCGATTAGTCGACTAATCAGATCATACGTTAATTGAATATAAAACATAGGCCTTATCGTGCCAGAATGCAGCTGCTATTATATAACCATGGTTAGATTTTAGCTATATGCTAACTAAAAATAATTGCTGTGGAAGACAAGTTCTGCTC